AATTTTCACACTTAATATTTGTAAGGATGACAGTAAACAGGGTGTACTCACATAGCCTGAGAGTGACTGTCAGATGTTGTTGATGACAGTTATTGTATCAGCAAGGGAAAAATTGCTCTTAGAAAGAAAACAATTTTTGACAATATAATCACTATGTCAAAACCAAAAAATCCTAAATATAAATAACTTCCAATTCTATGGGGGAAAATAAATTACTATGAAAGGCAAATTTAAGGTATATTACCAATGTTTTATGCAGTCTTTCATCCTTCCAAACATTTTTAGTAAAATTATAGAAGCATGGAGTCTGCTCTCTGACACTAATTCTAAATCAGACTAAGTACCCCCAGCCTGTAGAAGATTCAACTTCTAGCTCACCTCTCCTGCTTATAATGAACCTGATATTCTATTTTTTCAGTGCTTCAATCCTTAAAGATTTTCTACACACTTTTTATAATCTAAATCTGAACTTATCTTGTGTTACAGATAGTGTTGTGTTGGTGCAAGTTCCCAGCATCTAAATGATGTTACTCAGAACTAGGAAGCTATCCCAGCATGACAGTTGTTTGCATCAAATTAGTTATAAGTCATGTACTTAATTCCTTCTCCTCTCTCAATTTTTTAATTTTTTTAGATTTGGGTTTAGGTGTTTCTTTTCTTTCTAGAGCACAAAAGTGACTTCTTGCTTGTGAGTCCATATAGGACATAATTTTTTATTCTGTGCCATATCCATATATACAACAACTGTTTCCCTCAAAAAAAAAAAAAAAAAAAAAAAAAAAAAAAAAAAGGCTACTATGTCATTTGTCCTGACTGGATTTTCAGCTGTTAAAGAGCTTTGTCTGTCCTTTTCTGTGACCTTCAAGTGCCTGAGAGAGGTTTTTTCTTTTGAAAAATCCAAAAAAAACTACAATCTAGTTACCCCAAAAAGTACCAATTCATATGCTTCTGTCCCTTTCCCTGTCCAGGTTAACATCTATCAGACTGCCATCAAAAAGGTAAATTTGCAGAAATTTTTTTTTTTTTTTTCCTAAATAACAGTGCTGAGCTCTTTAGACTCATGGACTCTGTCAAGGGAGTAACAGTGGACCGGGCAGAAAAGCATAAAGCAGTGGAAGATACTGTATCTGTTCCATGTTAGCTGCTAGTTTTTCTTGCCTAAGGTATGGAATACAATGGATGTCCATTCTCATTATTTCAATACTAGAGGGATTAAAAAGAAGACTAAAGGATAACCATAAGAGAATTAACCTTAATTAGGTAAAATTTAAATGAGTTACCTTCATTCCCATAGGTTCACATGCTTTGATGGTATTCTTCAATGAACTTATTTTTATGGCATGTCATGACATAGCAGAAGACTGCCAACTCAATTTACCAGTGAGGAACCTGAGAGAGGCCTGGCTATGGTCATACACAGAGTCCAACAGCAATGTCTGCCCCAAAAGTCCGCTAACAGCACAGACCACATCTTCTCTCTCAAGAGATTTTAGCGTTGTGTGACACAGACTTAGAAACAAAGTTTGGAAACCGTAACATCTGCTTTCTTATATTTTATATGTAAATACAGGGAATAAAGATTTTGGAGACACAAAAAATTTTTTACGGGAAGGAGTATTTTTGCAAAAAATAACTGCCATTTTATGAATTATTTTATTTTGAAACAGGGATAAGCTTTTTGATCCTTTGGGGCTGTATAGCAATTATATTCTGTTGATATTTTTAGCAATGTAACCCACTATCCTCTTCATTTTTTTCTATCTTTTAAATAAACAGTTTTAAATAAACTATCTTTTCTGTCTTTGAGATGTAATCATCTATGACTTAAGCTCAAAGCTATGCTGATACACTGATATTTTTGATACTGAGATAAAAACTGAATGAGGCCTAACTGTAAAACTAGCAAAAGAAATTGAGTAAGACTAGAAAAGAACCATGGAATGGTGGGTAGAGAAAAACCATGCAGGGGAAGATGGAGGTGAAAGGTATGCATGCCTCCAAATATCGGAAAAAGATAGTCTTGCTCAACTTCCGTCCCTCTACTACAACTCTGAAGTTCCTCAGAGTTCTGAAGTTCCTCAGAGTACAACTCTGAGTTCTTCCTCTTTCTTTTAATGTACACAGAATGTGTTTTTTATTCTTTAAGAAAATGATCATAAATTATTCCATACAAATTGTGCTTAACAATTTAGAATATTAAAAATATATTTAGGAAATATATATTTAGGCAATATTTTTATGTTTTGTGGTTGGAATTTCTGGGGGTTTTTGAGCACAAGTTGATGAAAACTAGTACTATTAATAGAAAGGGAAAGTACTGAATGTGAAAATGGTCTTTAAGTGAACAGAACGGGTTCATAATTTTCAAGTGATGAAAGTCCATATAATTGGACCACACAAATGTAATACAGGTAACTAAAATACATAGTATAGAGTAACAAAGGGAAGTGATAAAAGAATGAAAGAATCTTATATATTCATTCAATTTTGTGAAGAAGGAACAATGAATAGTGCACCAGTTTTCAGGACATATTTTATGAGTTCATATTATTTAATCAGCATTCTTACAATGTGATGATTAGTTAACAAACTGAAGTAAAAAAAACCCAGATGCTTTTATAGACATAAAGAAAATACTAACTGATGTATAGTATCAGCCTAATAAATCTCTGCCATAAACACAGCAATGTTAAAATGTAACAAAATATGTATCCAAGCTGGTAATTTGAACCATGTCATTAAGCCTTCAGCACTGACAGCATTATTATTTGTGTATTTCTATTCACTCTGCTTCCAGTCTGACTGTGGAAAAAAAAGCAGATATTGAAATGCTTCTGACATAAAAATGATTGACTGAGTACATTGTCATATACAACCATGTTTCACCACATTTGAAATCCCTGCAAGATCATATTAAATAAATGCTCCAAACATATGTTCCCCTTGTATTTTTGTACTACTTAACATTTGCTTATAACAAAAGTTTTCCACCTGCCTATTTTCAATTATCTTCATGTTTCATATGCAGTGAATTAAAAACAAAACCGCTGAAACTGTTACTGTATTTTGATAAAAATAGAATAGTTTCAAGGAAGAGAGTTTTTAGGGTGAAACATTCTTGATCATTGGTGGTCAATTATTGCTATTTACTTTTATCCCCTCCTAAATAATTTAGGAATATTGTGATTTCTGAATGACATGACTGAGATATATAAAACAAGGAAGGTGGTTATCAATCCCAGACTGTCAAGTGAGTGGATAAAACACAAACTCATGAGTGCTGTGTATAAAATATTACAGTATCACAGTGTTAAAGGCTGGATCTGGGTCCCCCTCCCTGCTCAAGCAGAGCTACTGAAAGCAGATTACCCAAAACCAGTATTTCCAGATTACCCAAAACCAGATTTTCAGTATTTCCGAGATGAATATTCCACAGTCATTTCTAGGCAAACTGCTTCAGTATTTAGTTACAGTTAAAAAAGCTGATATTCATACAGCTATTTCTGTGTTTCCTTTTTCTCATTGCTTTTTGTCCTGTCATTGGGCACCAAAGAAAACACCTCAGTTGCATCTTTGCCTCTTCCCTTCATTTGTTTATGTATTGATGAGTTTTCCTTTCAGCCTTCTTCTCTCCAGACTGAGCAGTTTGACCTCTCCCAGCCTAATTCCAAAGCAAAGATCACAGAATCATAGACTCAGTGAATGGTTATGACTAGAAGGCACAATAGAGATCTACATTCAGATCCCCTGCCTGGGTCTCCTTCTACTAGGCCAGTTATACACAGTGCTATCCAGCGTGGCCTTAAACTCTTTCACAGATGGGGAGTCCGCAACCTCTTTGGACAGCATATTCCTTCTTCATATCTAACCTAAATGTACATTCCTTCAACATAAGGACATTAGGATTGGCCTATTTCTACATGCCATTGTCAAAAGTCCATTTCCAGCCCTCTTGAAAGCCTCCTTCATCTACTACAAGGTGCTACAAATTCTCCCCAAAGTGTTTTTTTTTCTTTGGACTGAGCTACCCCAATTGTCCTAGCTACCCCAATTCTGTCCCCAGTTCTCTTAATGGAAGAGGTTATCCATTCCTGTGGTCAGCTCAGTGTCTCTCTTCAGGACTTGTTCCAACAGGTCCCATATCTTTCTTTTCTGGTTGCCCCAGCCTCAGATGCAGCACTCCAAGTGGGGTCTCACAAGAGCAGAGTAGAGGGAGACAATCACATCCACTGATCTGCTGGGAACACCACTTTTGATGTTGCCCAGGATGAAGTTGGCTTTGTGAGCTGCAAGTGCACATTATTGGGTTGTGTTTTCCTTCTTATCAACCAACACCCCTAAATTCTTCTCTTCACAACCTATTCTCCACCCAATCTGTACTTATGCTTGGGTTTCCCCAGGACCTTGCATTTGGCTCACCTCTTAAGCTTGACTGCTAGCAAGAAAAAGCTAAATGCATGCATTGAATGGATACCCATATGGTAGAGGTTGTCACAGGTTTGTGAAAAGATAACTTTGTATTGAAAAGACTACAGTTCTGTTTCCAAATGGCTAAGGTAATTTACCAAATGACATACTGTTACTGCAAGTACTGCAGGTTTTAGTAATATGTTTGGAGTATTTATAGAGCTAATAACATAAGTTCAGTTATGAAACAATATTTTTGCACAAAACACAACATTGAGAAAGGGTTGATCTAGCACAGTGGCAAAGAAAGAAAGTGTTTATGACTAAGACAATGTGTTTGAAACACAATTGTTTCATAACCACTTCAATCAAGTACAGATAATTTCAATATAATTGTGTATAAATATGATTTATATTGTTTCACATCACAGTTATTATATAAATTCCTCTTTCTTTTGCTGCTTTTCAATGATTACTGTTTGCAGAATTTATTTATCATCAGTGTATTTACTTTTTTTGTTTCTTGAACCCTTCAGAATTTATTGGTGTTGCTGTAGAAAAGCAAATAAAACATCTTTGATTTTCTGTTTCAGGGAAATCTTGAAGAGTCTTACACTTTTAATCCTCCAGTCGTTAACTGTGCTATGAGGATATTCTGGTGAGGTGGTAAGTTGGTGTAGATCTATTACTTTGATCAGCTGAATTGTCATTTCAGATTTAACTTCTATAACAACATCCTTAAATGTTTATCTGACAAACTTCTCTTCCAGGCTCTCTTGGCAAATTTCCAGAACTATAAATATGTGATTGATATGTAAGAAGTCTGAGTCACAGAGGAATCAGATTATTTACGTATTTACAGATTAACTGTATATCATATAAACAGAGCAGTTGATTCCTACAATGCTCAATTCCTATTTTCCAGAAACTGTAGGTTTCCACACATCTGAAAAAACTGTAATTTTTGTTTGTTAATTTCCAAAATCTGGAAAATTTTTGTAATTAGTTTGGTAGAGCACAAGTAACACAGGAATGCTAGATATTGTCTGATTTCCAAATTTCAGTAATCGATTATTCAACTACTTGTCAGACTCCTCCCAGAATATTCCATATCCACACCCATATGAGTACGAGAAAACTGTAAAGGCTTTTTCTGACTGCAAAGAAGGCTTGTAGATTTAAGAAGCCACTGCAACCTGTCAATGTTCCTGTTCTAGTAAATTACATCATAGCTTCTGTTATCTTACAGATTCTGTTGATAGTAACACTCTATTAACTCTATATAATTATAATACTTTCTAACTGGGAATTTTAATCTGAAAGAGGATTCTTTTTAATTTTTCTATTTAAATACTGACTAGAGACAACAGACAAAATGATTACTTATTTCTAGGTGTTAAAAAAGTTTTGAATAATGAAGAGCCCAATGATTGTGAGTCATATTTTAGACAATTGTGTCTCATATCTCTCAGCCTTAATATACTATGCTCATTCTTTTTCTTTCAGTCAAAGTTTGTGCTACTGTTGGAGCTTGAGTGCTGGAAAAAGAATCTTCATCTTTCAATGAAACACCATGTGTGTTTTGCTAAGCTAGATACAATGTACAAGAATAGTTTTACAACTCTGGTTATATATATTTGGTATATGAAAATAATGATTCACTGATGCAGCATAGATTTTAATTCTCTGCTCTCTTGTTGTTGATATAAGGAGAATTTACAAAGTAAAAAAGAAAAGTTATTTCTGATTTTAATATATGAAGTTCACCCATAGTCTGTTACTTTTAAACCAGCAGATATTTGTTCTTATCAGTCCTCTGAGTGCCTTTTTCTTCATGATATCATTGAAGTATAATGTCACCAACCTCACTGTTATCTAAAAGAAGTGACGTCACACAAGCAGTGTCTATTTATTGGAGTGAATACCAACAATGAAATTCCAGTTTGATACTAAGTTTCCTTTTCAAGGATTTATTTTTCCTTGCCTTTGAAAATGTGCTATTACAGTGTGATTACAGTGTGATCTGAAATATGCTGTTTGGTCATCCTTTTATCTCATTTTATTAGCTAAAATATGAATTACTTTTATTGTTAGTAATAAAATTATCCCCTTGTGTTGGTGTGTCCTACAGTAAAAATACAAATAGTTCAAATGTAACAATGTATTTTACCCAAATTAATAAACACATTCTTAGAACAAATTCACATTCTTAAAGTAAAATCTAATAAATACAAATCTAATTTATTTCTGCAGTCTCTTGCACCAGTATGTAGGGTTTTTTTTAAATAAATATGAACTATTTATTAATATTTATATTTCACAGTTAAGGAATTCTTGATTGTCTGTGGCTAGATTCCCACTTCTTCAAGACTGTAAATCTGGAATAAATAAAATTTCCTAAAATCATGTCACTTTATCAAATGTAAGACATTTCCTTGAAGGAATTAATAGCAATGGAAAAAGTGGGAAATTAAAAATGGAGAAAAAAACCCTCACAAATTTACAGCAAAGTTTCAGTGGTTTAGTATTTATGTTAGTTTAAGAATTCTGTATTTGTGGCATAAATATAAAATAATATACAATTTTTTAGCTTCCATTCATTTTCATTTCAGATGTTATGGAGAAAAAGTAAATTCAAATTGTGCAAACTATCTCTTACAGAAAGTACTTTAGCAAAACTTCATAAGCATAGAAAAGGCTGCTGAAAATTGAATATAGGTTGCTTCTTCTATGTATTGATTTATCTTAAACAGAAATTCAGTGATTTGTTTTCCTCTGCTTGGTAAGCACACTTCCAGCCTTGAAAATGTCAACATAATATTCCCCTTAAGGGTGAAATTTTGGTAATACAGAAATACAGACCATGTCCCTCAGACTTAATTGTGTCTCAGATTCCATATTTATACTTGGATGAACAGAGATATATCTGTTACACTTTTATGATAATTAAGTTACATGCAAGAGGAGACAATACATCTTCATAATATAGAAAAAAATTTGTTGTAATTGATTAAAAAGATGAAAACTCTAGGTACAGGCATATAAGATGTGGGCTATTACTGTTTTTTGATCAGGGACTTAAAGGAGGTAGTTGTTATTTTTTAAGCCTTTCATGATGGAATTCTTATTAGTAATAATAATATATGTGTATTAAAATTCTTAACACTGACTATCATTTCAATAGTTTGGCAAGCTAGAATAAATATATTCAAGCTTTAACCTCTAGCCCATATTACTGAAGCCAATTTAGATTTGTTCACTTTCAACATACTTTCAGTTTGATAACTATTCGGCTAGCGGAAATGTGATGATAGAATGAGTTCAAATACTGAGGATAAAGAATTACCTTACAAAAAAATTGTGCATTTTGACAATAGTTCACATCTCACAATCACAACAGAAAGGTCAAAGATGAGACATCTATGCAGAGTCATCTGCTCCTTAAGTCAATAATCAGTTTTGAGTCTTTTGGCTAAAGATGGAATGAGGGGTCCTGGAAAAACGCGAACACTCCCACACTCAGGCTATACTGTAGCTATGGCTAAAAAATTCTGGTTCATTTAATAACTTACCATCAGCACAAAATTCATGTAACCAACCTGAAAATTATGAAAAAAGAACCTCCTTTTTTTGATAAAAATCTATATTGTTCATAAATATATTTTCACTGAAACTGATAATAACATAAGGCAAGGTGTCATTTCCAATGAAGGAATAGTGATTAAGAAAGCAACCTAATAGAATTGCAAAAAAAAATCAATACAGCACAGATACATTACCAATAAAAATATTTTTGTCCATAAAATTTTATGTACCTCAAGTAATTTAGTTCTTCCAGAGTTCTCCCATTGTGTGGATGGAAACTGGAATAAACAAAACCTTCATGAACTAATCAGGCTTCTATTGAAAATATTTGATTCTTTTCTTCATACTATTCTATTACAGATGATTTTCAATAAAATGAAAGGAAAAACATTTTTAATCTGTATTTTCCTTTCCAAGAAAACATTGGTATTTTGGTACTCCCAAATATGCAATATACAGTAAATAATAGTGCAAGGAAATATACAATACAAATGAGTGTTTCTCAGTGTATGTGTGTTAACCAGAGATGAGTCAAAAAAGGCAATCTAGAGTTAGAAAACAGAGGTTGTAATAGTATAATTGGACTAAAAAATAAAATGTTGCTTCTTTGCAACTATAGTTTTACTTTTCACAACCAGGTGGATCTTGCAGCACAGGATATGTGGTCTAATTTTAACATATTTGGTCTTTTATCATAAGCCAGTTTATTGAGATACAGGGCTTTTTAATAAATATTATTAGTGCAGCCTGATATACCTGTGATATACATAGATATCAATCATCGATTGTAAATATTGTATATGTATTGTCTAATTCTGAGTTCAAAAATTAGTTAATATATTCATCAATTTTCTATATGTTAGGATTATTTAAAGAAAAAGTATTGCTTGTTTCACAAGGGCATTTTAAGATCCTGTACAGTTTTGAGAGATTTTATTGCACAGTTAGAGTTCTGTATACATAAAGATTCATAGAATTTTTACATAAAAAAAGGGTTTTACTGTCTGAAAGTAGCAGTAATTACATGCAACTATGTGTAAAATCAGTGTCTTTCTAAATCAAGTTTATTTTTATGAATTTTCATGTATTTGATAATCACAGAATCACATATTGGGTCAGAGAGGAAAGGACCACAGCTGGGCATTTGATCCAACCTTCCTTCTCAAGCAGGGGCATAATAGAGCACCTTGCACAGGATTTTATACAGGTGGCTCTTCGATATTCCTGGAGAGAGAGTCTCCACAGTCTCTCTGGGCAATCTCTTTCAATGCATGGTCACCCACACAGTGAAGTAGTTCTTCCTCATACTCAAGTGGAATTTCCTGTGTGTGATTTTCTGCCCATTGCCTTTGTCCTATTGCTTGGCACCACTGAGCAAAGCCTGGATCCATCCTCTTATCACCCTCCCTTGGGAAACTTACAGACATCAACAAGGTCTCCTCTCAGCTGTGTCTTTAAGACTGAACAGGCCCAACTCTTATTAGCCTTTCCTTGTATGAGAGATGCTCCAGTCCCTTAATCATCCACTGGACCCTCTCCAGGATTTCTCATGTCTCCCTTATTCTGAGGAGCCCAGAACTGGACACAACACTCCAGATGTGCCTCACCAGGGCTCAGTAGAGGGCCAGGATTATGTTCCCCAACCTGCTGGCAATGCTCTTCCCAATGCACCCCAGGACACCATTGACCTCCCCGGCCACCAGGACACACTGCTGGCTCACAGACAGCTTGCTGTCCACCAGGAACCCCAGGTCCTTCTCCTCAGAGCTGCTTTCCAGGAGATCAGCTCCCAGTCTGTTGTGGTGCCCAGAGTTATTCTTCCCCAGGTGCAGGACCTTGCATTTGTCTGTGTTGAATCTCAGGCAGTTCTTCTGTGCCCATCTCTGTGCCTGTCCGAGGCCCTCCTGAAGGGCTGTACAGCCCTCTGGGCTATCGGCCGCTGCTCCCAGCTCCGTGTCGGAACATTTCATCTGTTGAGAATTAGTAAGCAAGATTGTGCAGTTACTTTCCCAGTGTTCTCTTTTTATTATATCCTGGTCAGATCTTGGGAGAAAATTGACTTTTTTAGAGGAATTATCATT